CCAAAAGCATATCTTCAATGCCAGGGAGGAAGTTGAAAAGATGACATTTTTATCCACTTTGAAGTGCCTTTTGACTATTTGCTGTATATTTAGAATTAAGTATCACCTGCTAAGCCTCAAAGAGCTTGTGGGTAACCACAACTTTTCTATCTGCTGGTGTGGCACTTCCTGTCAGTCATGGGGTCTCAGAGGGGGCCTGGGGCAGGGCCTGGGGACTGGCTGGCTGTCACAGCTGGGGGCTCCTGGCTGGTGGGCGGAGGCTGGGGTGCAGTGAATGTCCTCCTGGGCAGGCCAGCCCCCCACGGGGATGCCATGCTGTCCGCATGCCCGCCTGGAGGTGTGTTCTCACTAAGCACTGAGCTGTTGGGCCATGGCCCGCACAGTGTTTCTGAAAATCGTTTGAATCCTTTCTTCCACGAAGGAAGCACGCTCTGAGAGGTCTCAGAATTTAGGAGCATCCGCATGTGTTGGGTTTCTCTGCCCCGCTTTTCACAGAAGGGACATCATTCTGGAGGCCTTGGGTTATGCAGGCTCCTTCGGGTGCCTCCCGCCCATATGGGTGCAGGTCACGAGTGCAGGCAGCTGGGGGTGTCGAATACAGGGGAGTTACTGCTAACACCTGGGGATGCGCTGCTCCGCTGCCCCGTAACCGGTTCCCGTCGCCTTCATTCCAGATCTTGCCAGTGAAGAGAAGAAACGCCTGGAGGAGAAGCAGAGGGCCGCGCGCAAAAACAGGTCCAGGTCGGAGGAGGACTGGAGGACCAGGTGTGCATGGGGCCTGGGAGCTGAGCTGGGGGTGGGGCCTCTCTGGGGGCGGGGCCTGTGTGGGGGTCTTGGCTGCCCTGGGGGTGCAGGGGTGGGCCAGGGGAACTGCAGAGCAGTCCCAGGTGAGCCTTGCCAGGCTGCTCCTGGGCCTGAGTTTTCACCACCACGTGCTCAGCCGTCAAGAAAAGGGCTATTTGGAGATTAAAGGAGCAATATCCCGACGCAGTCATCCCAGGTGAATGCCAATTAAGAAAAGCTTTCCTGGCAGGCACCGCCTCCCCAGGTGAGGGAGTGAAGCCGGCTGCCAGGTGTCCGGGACGGTAGACAGCGTCTCTGCTCTTCCAGGCACAAGGGACTGGGCGTGTGTGGAAATAGGATTCATTCGTGTAAAGGACACTCTGGACTTCACTTAGAAGTAGAAAGTGGACAATAAACTTCTGAGTTTTGAAAAAAAAAATTTTTTTAAGACTCAGGAGCTGAACGGAAGCCTAGCCCTTTGCACCATGCACCCCAAGGTCCAGGTTTCCTCTCCATTGCAGAGTCAGCTCCCTCCTCCCAACCCGCGCCCCCCCCTGCCGCCCCGCCCCCACAAGCAGCCTGGGAGGCTTGCAGGCATGACATGGTCTTCAGAGAAAACATCCTTTGCTACTATGCCCACCAATTTGTGAAATGTCTCCGGCAAACGTCGTCCTCCCCGTTCCCTGTGGGAGACCGCGGCGGGCCTCAGCCAGTGAGTGTTTGACGTTCCTTGTCGCTCTGACTTGGACCCGCCAGCTTCTCTGGAGCTCGGCTCTGCAGGCCTGACCGCAGAGGTGCAGCTTTGGAGACCCAGGAGAGCATAATGTACTTCCCACTGGACAACCGTCCTGGGACTCTGACCAAAGGTCCTTCAGCTATGTCTACTTTGCTGACCCAAGTCTGAGTAATAGATACTTTGATCATCTCAGGAGGCTATACATTTTCTAATTAGGAAAAAGTCCACAAAGCTACATGATGTATGTAATATTATTCTAGAAAATTTGGGCATTTACTAAATGATCCTTCAAGGAATTGGCCTGGCCTGAAGTGGTTTTTCTCAGGGTTTTTACTGCTTCTGTAGTAATAGGAACATTTGGGACTTAGCAAACAAATCAAGCCTCACTTTAAAAAATATATATTTTTATTGATTTCAGAGAGGAAGGGAGAGGGAAAGAGAGAAACATCAACGATGAGACTCATTGATCGGCTGCCTCCTCCCGCCCCCTACTGGGGATCAAGCTGACAATTCTGGCATGTGTCCTGACCAGGAATCAAACCCTGACCTTCTGGTTCATAGGTTGACACTTAACCTCTGAGCCACACCAGCTGGGCTCACCTCACTTTTAATTGCTAAATATGATTAGAAGCTATTTATTTGGAGAGAATGGCAGAGACAGTTAAGAATGTTCACAAGTGTTACTCTGGAAACGAAATCATGTTTAGAAGACATGGCACTCCCTGAGCCTCTGGGCAGTAGGTCTGCATTCCCATCACTCAGAGGAAGCTGGGGTCGTGGGGAAGGGGCCGCCAGGTTTTTAAAGGGCAAGACAATGCCTAGGGCAGATTAGAAGGCAGGTTAGGATCTTAGGAGCCGGCATGTAGCCTGGGAGTCCATGTTAGCATGGAGGAGATGGGGCCCAGAGAGATTCGGTGGGACAGCCTCCGTGAACCACATGTGGCGGAACAGCTTTGAAAAACCACCGTCTTTAAAATCCAACAACTTCTATGTCAGTTATTAGCTTGGACAAGTCATTCATCTCCAACATCCAGTCGTTTTATACAATAGAGCTTTAAGGCTTTTTTTTTTTTTTTTTTTTTTTTTTTTTTTTTTTTTTTTTTTTTTTTGTGGGGGGGGGGGGGGGGGGGAGAAGGGGACATTTGCCCTGAACCAGGCAAAAACATTGCTGCAGTTAAATCGTGAAAGTTCACTTTATCCCAATTCCTTATTTCAAATTGCCTCCAAAAGAAGGACTTTTAATGGAATCCTTTTGCCTACTTCCCAATGTGGTCTCTGTCTTTCTACCCAATATGAGCAGCTGGCTGATGGTGGGGGGCAGAGCAAACTTTTGTGGGTGACCTGCTCTCCCAGCTGCCAGCAGGATTGGGTAAATGCTCATATAGGACTCAATCCTGTCTCTGCTGAATTGGCTCAAGTAGTGACAGGCAGCACAGACCCATTGATTGTCTGGTGACAACATATATGAAGAAAAGGTTAGGGCACATTCTTATTTCTAATTGCTTTTAAAAGAAGGACTTGTAGTGGCAGGTAATGGGCCTAGAGGATGAACAATTAGACAAAAACATTGATTAACCGTCGGAGACAGAAGACCCTAATTCTGTTAAGCAACATGGCCACGTGCTGTGGGAAGTCCACACGCCCTTTTCGTGGTCTCAGCACGAGGGACGGCACCTCACACCTCACACGCCCTGGGTGAACTGCTGCCGAGGGAGGTTCTGAGGCTGCCAGGCTGCGGCCGCTGCCCTTCTGTCCCCCTAAACCTCGGCCTCTCTCCCCACAGGTGGTTCCATCAAGGCCCCAACCCCCACAACGGGGCGCAGGACTGGCTCTACTCCGGCAGCTACTGGGACAGAAACTACTCAAACCTGCCTGACATTTATTAAAGGGCAGACAAGTCAGGGTGCGGGGCTAATCTACAGATCTGTCTTAAACCTGTGTTTTAAAATCTTTTCTTTGGTTTCTACTCATCTTAAAAAAAAAGAAAAAAGAAAAGAAAACCCCCTTCGTCACTTGCATTTCACCCCCAAAAACAGGGCACAAGGTGACCTCGGTGATGGAAGACTTACAGAAAATGGGTACTTTTGCTACTGAAGGGGCTGACGTGGGTACTGTCTGCAGAGGTCAGGGCCTGCGGGCGGGCGGGCGGGCGTGCTTCCTGGCAGCTTCACTGAAGTTTCGGGAGGTGGATACCTGAATGTAATTCAGCTTTATGAAGTTATATACCTACATGTAACTTAGCTTTATAAATTATAGAGTTATTTTGGCTACTTTATGCTGTTGGGCTTGAATGTTCTAGATGTGACTTTGAAATGAGTCGGCCTCTGCCATACATGGCTCGCTGCTCAGACGCAGAGAAAGACATGGGTCAGAGGCCTTCCCAATGGACCCTCCCAGCCCCAGGCCTGCGGAGCCAGAGGGCAGCTGGGCCTTGAGAATTCGAATGAACTGAACTGAAAGGTCTTCCGTTTGCTTATTGTGATGCTGAGTTTCCTTTTACAATTCTATAACCAGCCATTAGGATTAAGAAGTGTTTAATGGTCCATGTTCCAATTGAAAATATGTATGAACTCTAGCAATTCACAAAAATGCCCTAGAATAGATTTTAATCACCGTTATTACATAATGACTCGCCTGGTGGCGTGCCGCCGGGGAGATTAAGTTGCACTCGTGTATGACACGCATCTATCTGTGGAGCAGGCGGTCCTGTGTGTTCAGGTTCACAGGCCCCGTGTACTTAGGACACGTATGGAGACCTGCTGTACAGCAGCCTGGCCCCTTTAATTGGGGCACATTAACCCTCTATTTATCCACCAGCCCCAGGCTGAGCTGTAGCTCCGGGGTCTTAGGTAGCTGCCAGTAAATTATTTTCATTGCTGTCTTAAAGTTAACAAGTGTTATAATGAAATAATCTACCTGATGCAAAATAAAGGCTTTAGAATGTTCACAAAGTGTGATTTCTTTCATTAAACCGTCCAAGGGGCTGGCCTTGCCAACTTCCTGAGGAATGGATCCTAAATGATGAGGATGCCCTTCCCGCCCTGCCTGGTGGCTCAGGGGCTGAGTGACCCTGTGAGCCAGGGGTCAGGGCTCAGGCCACGGGGCTGCACCCCGGGGTGGGGGATGGGAGGACGTGCAGAGGGCAGCGGTCCGTGGTTCTCACACTAATGTTTGTCCCGCTCCCTCCCTTCCTCTCTGAATCCTAAGAATATATTAAAAATAAATGTTTTGGATATTGAGACAAGTTGTGTGTGTGCGGGGGGGGGGAGGAGGGGGTGTAGGGTTTCTGCAGCCACCTCGCCCAAATCAGACAAATGCCTTAAAACCCGGCTTTGGGAGCGAGGACGAGTGGGCCCGGATGGGTCAGCGGGTCTGGGAAGGCGGGGAGCCCACGCCCCATCTTCCTGGGTCCGGCCCGGCTGCGGGCTCCCTGGGGAGGCGGGAGGGCGAGGAGGGAGGGGGCGGCCCAGACCCGGCGCGACCCCGACCCCGGGAGCCGGCCGTAACCCGGAAGCAGATGCGGCTGCGCTTCCGGTCGGCCCGCACCGCTCCGCGCTCGCTCTGCGTCCGGAGCGCGCTGTCCGCATGGCTGAGGGGGACGGCGGCGGCGACCAGAGGCAGGTGAGCGCGGGCCCCCAGGCGCCGGGTTCCGCCCGCGCCGCCGGGCCTCCTGCTCCGCCGCCGCCGCCCCGGGTCCGGCCTCCGCGCGGCGCCCTCCCGCCTCCCCCGCGCCCCGGCCGCCGGGACGGGAACGCGGCCCTGCTTCCCTCCCGCCGCCGCGCCCGAGGCCCGAGGCCCGGCCGCCCCCGGGCCGCGGGCCCGGCGCCCCCCCCCCCCCGCTCCCCTTCCCCCCGCCCCCCCCCCTCCTCTCCTCTCACCCCCCACATACCCCCCGCCCCCCCACAGGAAGCCCGGCCGGGGAGCAGGGAGCCGGAGGGCCGGCCGCCAGGGGGCCTCGCTGAGGCGGGAAGGCGGCCGGGCGGACGGCGGCCCCCGCGGGACTCCCGCGCACGCACTGGGCTCCGGGGCCGCCGCTCGTGGAGCAGCCCGCGGGCCCGCCCCCGCCCCCGCCCCCGCCCCCGCCCCCACCCCGAGCGGAAGGCGGACCGGGCTGAGAGGGGGTCAGAGTTCACGTCCGCCCTGCACCCACTCCCTCACCCACCCCTCCATCTACCCCTCCATCCACCCCCTCACCCACCCCTCCATCTACCCCTCCATCCACCCCCTCACCCACCCCTCCATCTACCCCTCCATTCACCCCCTCACCCACCCCTCCATCTACCCCTCCGTTCACCCTCTCACCCACCCCTCCATCTACCCCTCCATTCACCCCCTCACCCACCCCTCCATCTACCCCTCCATCCACCCCCTCACCCACCCCTCCATCTACCCCTCCGTTCACCCTCTCACCCACCCCTCCATCTACCCCTCCATTCACCCCCTCACCCACCCCTCCATCTACCCCTCCGTTCACCCTCTCACCCACCCCTCCATTCACCCCTTCTCTCACCCCTCACCCACCCAAAATGTGTGTTCTATTGAAAATGTTTTCTGGCCGAAACCTGTTTGGCTCAGTGGATAGAGCGGCGGTCTGAGGACTGAAAGGTCCCAGGTTCGATTCCAGTCAAGGGTATGTACCTTGGTTGTGGGCACAATCCCGTGCAGGAGGCAGCTGGTCGATGTTTCTCTCTCATCGATGTTTCTAGCTAGCTGTCCCTCTCCCTTCCTCTCTGTGGAAAATCAATAAAAAAATAAAATAAAAGATCTAAAAAAAAAAAATAATGTGTTGTTTATTGTTGATCCTGTGACAGACGTCAGGCTGGTACCGTGGAAGGCAGATGCCTTCTCCACCAATTGGGGAAACGTGGGGTTCTGGCCTTGGGGCGCTTGCTGACAGCCCCCCTTCCCCACTTCCTGCAGAATGAGGAAATCGAGGCCATGGCGGCCATCTATGGCGAGGAGTGGTGTGTTATCGACGATAGCGCCAAGATCTTCTGTATCAGGATCAGCGACGACATAGACGACCCTAAGTGGACAATCTGCCTGCAGGTACCCCTCTCCTCCTGCACCTCCTCCTCCTCCTCCTCCTTCAGGCACCCCTTTTCCTCCTCCTCCTCCTGCAGGTACCCCTCCTCCTCCTCCTCCTCCTGCACCTCCTCCTGCAGGCACCTCTTTTCCTCCTCCTCCTCTAGGCACCCCTTCTCCTCCTCCTATAGGTACCTCTCCTCCTCCTGCAGGCACCCCCTCCCCTCCTCCTCCTCCTCCTCCTGCTGCTGCTCCTGTTCCTCCTCCTCCTCCTGCACCTCCTCCTCCTGCAGGCACCTCTTCTCCTCCTCCTCCTCTAGGCACCCCTTCTCCTCCTCCTATAGGTACCCTTCCTCCTGCTCCTCCTCCTCCTCCTCCTGCAGGTACCCCCCCTTTCCTTCTCCTCCTATAGGTACCTCTCCTCCTCCTCCTGCAGGCACCCCCCCCTCCTCCTCCTCCCCCTCCTCCCCCTCCCCCCCCCTCCCCCTCCCCCCCCGAATGGTCTTCAGGACCCGCTTCTGGGTTCCCGCAGTGACCCTGCTTGTGTGATTTGTTGGAATTGTCTTTAGTTGTTGGGTTTTGTTAACGATTGGTGACCCAAACCTGTGGGTCATCACATCTCGGCTCGCTCTGACGTGGGCTTCGATGGACGGTCCCAGCTCTCTCTCAGTTCTCTAAGTTATGTGAGTCCTCCCGCGCCCTGACGTGCCCGTTTGGTGGGTGAGGAGGTGGCGCTGGGAGAGCGGGCGCTGAGGGGGAGCAGGAGGTCGGTGGTGCGGTGCCCAGCCAGGCCTCACTTCTGTGTTAACGGGTGTGGTCAGGCTTAGTCTGAACAGACTGGCAGGGCTTCTGCTTTAAGGCTTAGCCTCTGCTGCCTGAGTTCTCAGTCTTTGTCTTTATAATGACTCCGTGTTGGAAGAGATCTGGATGGTTCTCTTACCGTTTACCTGATGATGTAATTAGCAGGATATAGTAGGATTACATTAATTTTTAGTATTTCAGAAAAAATCTCTAACGTGTTACAGTACCACTCCATTCTCCTAGGGTTACTATATAATGATCCTATTTCAGTTTTTCTTTCATCTTTGTTTTCTAACTTTTGTTGCTTTTAAACTTTCTCTGCAAACTGTAAATTCCTTCTTAAAAATTCAGCATCATCATTAGCAACATCTTTGAAGTGGAAGCATAACCCTGAGGCGGGAGTCTGGAGATTTATTTATTTATTTATTTATTATTTATTTTTAATATATTTTTATTGATTTTGTATAGAGAGGAAGGGAGAGAGATAGAGAGCTAGAAACGTCAATGAGAGAGAAGCATCGACCAGCTGCCTCTTGCACACCCCCCACTGGGGATGTGCCCACAACCCAGGTACATGCCCTTGACCGGAATCGAACCTGGGACCCTTCAGTCCGCAGACCGACGCTCTACCACTGAGCCAAACCGGCTTTGGCTCGAACAGTTCTTTCCTCCACTTTATCAGGTCTTCTTGTAGTTTCTTGATCTTGTCTCAGACGATTACGGACTTGTTGGCGTAGAAACAGCAACATTCCTGTAGGGCTAAGCATATCCCTCCCGGAGGTCCTAGTCCACCGTTGGTCATGGATATCAAGATTGAAAGCAGGGTCAGGGTAGTTGTCATGATCTTCAACAGATCAATCTCGCAGGGCGGCTAGTCCTACAGTGATCAAAGACGAGTCTTCACTCACGGGTCAATACCTCGCGGCGACTCAAGACGAACCTAGCTCACGCCGACTTCGTGGAGGTTCAGGGGTGCCTGGCCAGGGCTTCTCAAGTGGGTGTCCCCCACAGGGGTCCGTTCCCTTGCCACACGTTGGGCGCCAGATATGCCCCGACCCGCGGGGCATGACAATGCGGGAAGAGGGAGGACCTGTGGAGGATGAAAAGAAGGGACAGGGGAAAAGGAGAAATGGAGGCAAGACAAAGTTCTGATCAAGCCTCCGGAGTCTGGAGATTTAACAGGACAGTGGTTTGGGGTTAGGGTCTGTCGAGGGACCGACTGTAAAATACTTGTGAGTCATGACATGAAGCCTTTGTGTTCACTCTGCCCGCAGGTGATGCTGCCGAGCGAGTACCCGGGCTCAGCGCCCCCTGTGTACCAGCTGAAGTAAGCTCTTTCCGTCCTGGGTTTTAATTGCTGTGTCTTTATTTTAACGTCTCTGAGATCAGCATAGTTTTACTTTACTGTAAACAGTTGTGTGTGTTAGTTTATTTTGTTCATTAGATTCCACGTGTGAGTAAAACCATGTGGTGCTTGTCTGTCTCTGGCTGTTTGTTTCACTTGTGTAATGCTCCCCAGGTCCCTCCGAGGTAAGATATCCTTTTTCATAGCTGAGAAGTAGTCCATCCTGTAAAGGTAGCTCTATTTTATAAAAATCATGCTTTCCAAGGATTGTTGGTACTGTACATTGTGCGCATAAAGTATCTTATCAAAATGTATGCAGAAATTAATGCCTTTTGGGCGTGGTGTAGAGCATTTAAGTACATTTAATTACATAAGAACACAGCGATGTATGTCACTTAACACTGTCCTAGAGATGGGGACAGAGCTTTAGACAAACTGGTATCTAGAACCCCACCGCAGAGCTCCTCAGGCCTGGTTCTGCCGCAGGTCCAGCCACAGGGCCTTGGCGTGCCTCTGCCTACTCCTGCCTGCCTCCAGGAAGTGCCCTGGTGCTTCCAGGAAGTACTCTGGGCCTCCAGGAAGTACCCCTGCCTCCAGAAAGTACCCTGGGCCTCCAGGAAGTACCATGGGCCTCCAGGTAGTATCCTGGTGGGCCCGGGGCTCCTTCCTGCCCTGCATTGCTGAGGAGCTGTCTTCTCCGCAGCCTGAGCTGCTGAGGCGTGTCTCCTTGGCTTGACCTTGCCCACTGACCTATTAGGAAGTTTAGACCCTGGGAACAGAGTTGCCTTGAATCTCAGTGACTTTTTTTTTTTTAGTCCTCACCTGAGGATATTTTTCCATTGATTTTTAGGGAGAGTAGAAGAGAGAGGGAAAGACAGAAACATCGCTGTGAGAGAGACATATCGATGGGTTGCCTCCTGCATGTGCTCTGACCAGGGTCCGGGCTGAGGAGGAGCCTGCATCCCAGGTTCGTGCCCTTGACAGTAATTGAACCCAGGACCCTTCGGTCCACAGGCTGACACTCTATCCACGGAGCACACCTGCCAGGGCTCAATGACTAGATTTTTACCTGCTGGGGGGGATTGTGTTTCCTAAGAGTGTTTTGGAATCACAGCTATAACAGTTGCTGTTAGTAATGGGCCTGCACTGTTAAGCTTTTTTATTTATTAAAAAGGTCTAGTTATAGAATGCTATAACATGAGTAGGTACCCTTTTCAGAAATGTTAAAATCTCCTACAGTCACGTGGCACCCGCCTTGTTGGTGACAGCAGCCGTTTTGAGACGCCAGTTAGAGAAAGCAGGAGACTCCCGGGAATCCGGCAGCTTAGGCGCGGAATGGGCGATCCGGTCCCCTGGTGCCCCGGAGCTCACCGTGTGTTAAACCACATCCTAGTTGGGTAATATTGGTGTTTGATCAGGGTTTCCTGGGAGGACTGAACGAGGTAATGCCGAGGAAGCATTTTCGAACTGTATTAATTTAAGACAATATTTTAATGAAAATAATTTTTGAAAGTTAAGTAAAACTAATTGGGGTGAAAGCCCTAATTTACATGTGAGATGCAAACATAAGCCCTGAATAACCTCTACTTTCTTTTCCTTAATGGTAGTGCTCCTTGGCTTAAAGGGCAGGAACGGGCAGATTTGTCCAACAGCCTGGAGGAGATCTACATGTAAGTGGAGGCGCCTGAGCAGATCCCCGAGTGACTGTGGGCTTCGGTGGGGCTGGGATGTGTGGGGGCCTTTTCGTGAAAGAGAAGATGCGCTTGTGAGGCCTGGGAAGGTTGCCTGCACATAATGTGCACCTGAGGTCAGGCTGTGTTGAACGAGACTCGTAACACGGGAATCCTAAGCATAATTACTTGTTAAACTAGTAATTTTAACAGGGATTTTCTTGCATTATCCCATAAGACGATAGTCTGTTAAATATGCTGTATTTTTTGTTGTTGTTCATTCTCACCCAAGGATATTTTTCCATTGATTTTTAGAATGGAAGGGAGAGGGAGAGGCAGAGAGAAACATTGATGTGAGAGAGACACATTGATTGGTTGCCTCCTGCACACACCCCAATCTGGGCCAGGGGACATGCAACCAAGGTACGTGCCCTTGCCTGGAATTGAACCCGGGACCCTTCAGTCCGTGGGTCAACACTATACACTGAGCCAACTGGCTAGGGCTACTGTATTTTTTTACTATTGCATTCATTCAGCAAATAGCATATGGCAGGCACTGTGCTAGGTCCTGGCTACACATAGCAAAACCATGGCGTCTGGGATTTACTGGGAGGAGAAGTATTACTTACCACAAGCTCCTGTAAACGGCAGCTGTGACCGAGAGGGTGTGATACGCATGCTGGTGCGGCTGCCAGGAGACTTGCCTGCGTGGGAGGTGAGGGGCTGCGAACGACTCATCCCGAGTGACTGACGTGGGGACGGTGACTCCCGGGAAGGGCTGCACGTGTGCAGCGGCTGCATGTCACCAGCTTGCACATCTCCAGACGACGTGATGGTGGCGTGAGGGGAGAGGCGGGAGGGGGCCTGCTGGGGGTTGCCTGGTGGGGGAGGCAAGGTCCCGAGGGGTCCGTGGGCCAAGTTCCAGCTTGCCGTTCTCGACCCGGTGCCGGGAGCGGAGAAGGGTCAGTACGGTGGATGCAGGATAGGATTTCCTGTTTCCTGGGAGGCTGATTGGCGGGGAGCACGTGGAGATGGATCCAGGGAAGATACGGTGCGATTTGGGTTCATTTGGATAAGGTGCGGTCAGTGAGTAAGAATGATGACGCTCTCGGTGTCAGTTCTGCGGACACCCACACTGGGAGGTTGCCGGGTGTCCCAGGGCTGCCCCCATGCACAGTGAGAGCTCCCTCCCTCTGTGCACTGGACCCTGGCCAGGCTCCTTCCCCCAAAAATAATGAAAATGGGGTGATCCTGTTGGTTTCCTCCTGGAGTTCTCAGACTCACACTGGACCCAGGAAGCAACGAAGCATGTCCCCTCCACCGAAGTGGACTAAGTCAGATGCGTTTCGATTGGTTCACCAGGATGATGTCACTGCATTCACTGTTCAGTGTTTACTCCCTCTGTCGTTGGTGGGGGCGAACACTCCTCTTTTTGGAAAGTTCTCACACGTGGCTCCTGTCATGCTCGTCACATTCTCCTCCCGTGCACAGCGCCACGCACTCTGCCTTCTCCGCCCGCAGAGCACCCCTTCCTGACGCCCACAGGGCACTGCTCGCTGCTCCCTCACGGTCCTGGACGGTCCCGGGTTGGCAGCATTAGAAACGACAGAGCCGCCTGTTCTCTGGACGGAATCTGGTCAGACGTCTTCTTGATTCAGAGTGCTCGGATAACCCAGGTTCGATCGCCCTGTTTTCACACGTGTGACCAGAATAGAAAGACGGTTCTGTTAAAAGTTTTGTGGGACAACTGTTCACCATCTCTTTCCATAAAAATTCCAGCAGGGGCAGCAAGTGGAAAGTGTTGGTCTTTGGGAAATGGAACAAGATAAATGTGCGAATGTAGTTATTTATGTTCATATTCTTATTGTGCTCTAAAGATGGTAACTAGCTACATTTTCGTGTTGATTTAGCATCACTGAATGCTAAGGCTGGTTTTTGCGTGGACGGGAAGATGGATTCTAGTTTAGGGCGGTGAGAAGTCAGGAACTAGCAGTTCCTCTTGGCGTTTATTGGTGTCACCTGCATGCTGGCACTCTGTTAGGAGTTTGGAAATTAAAATGGGAGAAGGAAGAGCCGCAGTCCGCTGTTGTGACACCCATGGAGAGGTCTGGTCGGCGCTGTGACACGTGTCGGCGGTTGCAGCAGCTCGCTCTCGGCATGCGGGTGAGGCTGTGGAGGGTCCGTGGCAATGGGAGCTCAGTGTTTGCCCGGTAACCAGAGGGCGTTCCCGAGAGACGGGCGGCATCAGCGGATCCTGCAGGTGTGAAGCCCCCTGAGGCGGCAGCCCTTCCGAGCAGGTGTGAGTGGGCAGGTGGAGGAGGACACGCCCGTGGCTGGGCTGTGGCTGTGGGAGTGGTGGCGGCGGGAGAGGCTGCGTGAGCTCTGGGTCCCGGTGCGCAGGGGGCGCACGGTGGAGGGCTGGGAAGAGGGACACCCGGAGGAGCCACCGGTGACGGGCGGGAGGTGGTGGAGGCCGTTGGTAAGGAGCAGGATGCCAGGGGAGAAGAATGGCCTAAAGAGATCCCGAAGGCCGTCAGCAAGGCTTGGTGAGTGCTTGGGTGCTGGTTAACTTGCGGATATTTTTTTTTTGAATATTTTGCATGTGGATATTTTGAATATATAAAAACAGTTATTCTAACAAAGCCAAAGTGAGTGACATTTAAGACACTTAGAGCAGCTGGTGGAGTGGCTCGGACGGCTGGGTGTTGTCTGTGCACCAAAGAGGTTGCTGTTGGGTTCCCGGTCGGGGCACACGCGGGCTTGTGGCTGGAGCCCTGGCAGGGGCGGGCAGGAGGCCGCCCAGCGATGTTTCATTCTCACATTGATGTTTCTCTCTCTCTCTCTCCCTCTCCCTTTCTCTCTCGCTCGCTCTCTTTTTAAAAAAATAAATTTTATTGATTTTTTTACAGAGAGGAAGAGAGAGTTAGAAACATCAATGAGAGAGAATCATCGATCAGCTGCCTCCTGCACACCCCCTACTGGGGATGTGCCTGCAACCAAAGTACATGCCCTTGACCGGAATCAAACCCGGGACCTTTCAGTCCAAAGGCCGATGCTCTATCCACTGAGCCAAACCGGTTTCGGCTCCCTTTCTCTTTAAAAATCAATTAAACATACTTAGAACAGTTGGTGTTAAGAGGAAATGAAAAGACTTGTTTTTTTTGCTAGTATTTGGATTTACTGTTTCAGCAGTATTTAGTTTAAAATCCAGTGAGAAGACTGTTTAGAACTCCCACAGCTCTTCTCGTTTTGATGTCGTCAGGTTAGGATTGACCCAGCTGCTCTCTGTTGGGTTGTAAAGTCCCAGGCTTTTCCTGTTGAGCTCCTTTCCCGTCTGCTAACCTCGTGAGTAACAGTGGACGTCTCGCTGCGAGCTCTCGAGCTCCGGGACCAGCTGGCCCTCGGAACCATCGGGGTGGAGGAGCCAGCAGGACCGAGGACGCCAGCTTTTGTTTGTTCTCATTTGTTTCTCATTCGCCAGAGGCTTCCTGGCAGCAGTTTGGGAGCCAAACCCTCGTGGACAGTTAGACAATAAGAATAAACTTGTCACCAGAGAAAGCACAGAGGCAGTTAAAGCACGCCGCCCCCTGGTGGCATGCTGGCACAAGGGCAGCACTAGCCTTCATTGTCCTCGGGAGACCGTTAGCCCAGGACAGCCCTCCCAGGGCCTGGTGGGCCTTGCACACGCATTGGGCCTTCACTCTGCTGTTGCCATTTGCTGACCTGCAGGTGGACACATGTGACACGCTTCTCCTCAGGGAGCCGTGGCGATGGACTTCCTGATCTGAGGCAGCCAGTGTCTGGAACCAAATGAATCACCTTGGGCAGCGGGACATTTTGTCAAAAACAGAACCTGTGTCTATAAAAGGCTGATATGCAAAGTGTCCCCTCAGGAGTTTGGCTGGGAGACCAGGAGTTTGGTGGCTCGCTGTGACGTGTTCTGACCACTTGGGGGCGGTGCAGAATGAATGAAGACCCGATCGGCCCTGATGGCTGGCCAGGCCTAGGGACCCTACTGTGCATGAATTTCGTGCACCGGGAGTTCTCGAAAGCTCTGCATCCTTGGTTGAAATCAGCATGCCCAGTGAGAAGTGTGCCAAGGCGTGGTTTCAGATTGTTCAGAAAGTACATGTAGACAGGCAAGCAGTGATTGGACATTAATAATGAGGAATTAAATTGCATTTATTATACATCTCACTCACCCAGCACAAGTTCATAAATTTTCTTTATCTTTTCTGGTGCCACCGTTCTGCTTGTTTTAAGTAAGCAATGTTGATTTTGGAGCCAGTGGGAACTAAATGTTTGTATAAACTATATTAAATATTCATCCAAAAATGTTACTAAATCTCATGTCTTTATAAATTCCTTTTTAAAAGGCATGGCTTGCCTTGACTGGTTTGGCTCAGTGGATAGAGTGTCAGCCTGTGGACTGAAGGGTCCTGGGTTCTATTCCGATCAAGGGCATGTACCTTGGTTGTGGGCACATCCCCAGTAGGGAGCATATAGTAGGCAGCTGATTGATGTTTCTTTCTCATTGATATTTCTAACTCTTTATCCCTCTCCTTCCTCTTTGTAAAAAATCAATAAGTTATATAAAATAAAAGGCATGGCTCGATGCATATAATTTCTTAGGTTGTAAAGATGTCTGTGTTTTTTGAATTTGAGAAGGAAATACTTTTAAATAACATTTTCCCCCCTGAATTTTGTTTAGACAGAATATTGGTGAAAGTATTCTTTACCTCTGGGTGGAGAAAATAAGAGATGTCCTAATACAAAAGTCTCAGATGGCAGAACCAGGTAGGATGGAACAGTGCCCTTGTTCCTTCGGTCTTACTTTTCACATGGATATTCTATTTGAAGTTTTTAATTAAAATCTGTGTTCTGTTCTATGGTTTACATACAGTAAAAGTTAAGTTTTCTGAAAAGTTCATTTAATCATATAGTTATGGTTCTTTGGTTTGATGTTATATTCTTATAGAAATATAATTTTATGGTTAAATAACTCGGATCAAAAAAATCTCTTCTTTGATTATTGTTAAGGTAACATGTACCATGTAACATTCTTCATGAATTATTAGATGGTATAAGCTAGACATTATGTTTATAGAATGCTTATGGAAAAAATACCTTGAAACATATTAAGGATATAAAAATTGATTTTGAACAATGATTTTAAAATTCATTTGTAATTCACATGCCATAATAATTCGCCTTCAAAGCTGTCTAAAGGATGGTTTTAGTGTATTTCATGGCTGTGCAGCTGTCAGCACTGTCTGATTGCAGGACGTGGAGTTTCTGTCTGCTCTCGCTGTCACCTTCTGTTGGGCCATTAAGTCCATGGCCACATGGGCGTCCTCACGTGTCCTGCTTACTCTGCTCATCTTTGCTTCCCTTTCCAGAGACCTTCTACGGAGGAAGGTACCGATCTCACTCGACTTTTACCTCCAAATGGAGTTTTGTTGTTATTGTGGACGGAATTGTTTTCAGGTTGGAGAAATAGGGATTAAAAACACAGGAGTCTATTGACAGAGAACAACGCATTACTGGGCCTCCTCAGGAAAGTCATTGTATGTCTAACACCAACAGGAGGCTTTTCCAGGGCATTAGGTTGTGTTTCTGTAGCAGCCAATGCTTTTCCTCTTCCATTACAATCAGAGAGGAGTGGTGGGAAGTGTTCTGTCCACAGGACAGTCGTCCGTGAAGCGCTTTCCTTAGTGTTTATGCCCCGACAGTGAATGCACAGCATTTCAGGGAAATGCCTCTGAGGGGAACGTCGTCTCACACAGACTGGGCTTTGCCAGCGCACCGTCCTGCGGTGGGAGGCTGCAGGAGGGATGCCTGCCAGGGGAGCGGAGGGCTCACTTACTCGGGCAGTTTAATACTTACTGGTCTTCACAGATGCCCCTCCCCACCTCTGTTCACAGTTAGCTTAGCCACTCTTCCAGCTTACAGCTGCGATGTGTTCTGTGCACTTGGTGATTTCTAGGCATCTGTGTGGGAGGTTTGCTCAGAGTGGTTTGTGGACCACGTGGAAGGGCAGGTCCTGAGAGCTGGGCAGCTTTCCTGCCGGCCGCCGACAAGGAGTGTGATCTGATTTCAGTGTTCATCTTCAGTAGAATTTATCACTTACTATTTCATGTTTTTTCTCTACTTTAGAAACATTAAATTTGAAATAATTGTATGCGACTTAACAATTTTTAAAAATTTTGCGCCAATTTGAGGCAAACGTACAGGAAATGGCAGAAATGATGCAAAGAGCACACATCTCCCCCTGCTCCCCACTAACCTCAGAGCAGCCACGTCCTCGCCAGGCCCGGCGCTCACCGGCAGTGTCAACTGGAGCTGACTCGGCTTTCCTGGTTCTTACGGGAATGTCTTCCGGCTCTCAGGACCCTGACGGGACTCTGGTCCTGGTTCTTCTTACTCTCCTGGTCTCTCTGTGCTTCCTCCATCTTCCTTTGACTTTGGTGACTTTATGGCTTGACACTTTTCAGGAGAAGTGATTGACTGCTCTGTAGGATGTCCCTCACCTGGGTTTGTTTGTTATTTTCCCTGATTGAGTAGGGTTAGACATTCTGGCAGTCATACCACAGAAGCGATTTCGTGTCCTTCCCACACACCATATCAAAGAGCTCATGACATCAGCATGCTTATTATTGGTGAACTTGACCTTGACCCCTTGCCAGAGGTCAGCACTGCCAAGTCCCTGCTTTAGTCAAGGTTCTCTGGAGACACAGAATGATAGGAGGTGTGTGTGTGAGTTAGAGTGTGTGTGTTTGTGTAAAAAGGAGAGAGGGAAGGAGAAAGGTGTGGGGGAGAGAGTGGTCTATTTTAAGGACTTGGCTCCCCAGACTGTGGAGTCAGGCAAGTGCAGCTCCAGTCGGAAGGGCTGCTCCCAGAGTCCCTTTGCCGGGCAGGCCAGCCCCTTCCCACTGAGACCTCCAGGGAAGCGGCTCACACGGTGGGCGCCCTGCTCTCCCCAGAGGCCCTGGTGTGAGTGAATTCCTCCAAGCAGCCGCCGCAGAGACAGCTGGACAGAGAGGCCTGTCCTGTCCCGCGGCCGAGCCGGTAATCGGCCTCAGCGCCAGCCTTGCCGTCCTCCGTCCCCCGTTCCCGTGGGGGACGCGTGGGGATCTGATGTCCTGTCCTCCGCACACACCCCTCACGGACGTGCGTGTGCCCGGGGGCTGTCCTGGTGGTTCCGGCTCCCTCGTCCTGTTCGCTCTCTGCTGATGCACGTCCCCCCGAGCCCGTGTGCTGCGTCCGGGCCGAGTTCTCCGCTGCCATTGCTGCTGCTCAGACAGTCCCAGGGGCGGGCGTGTGGGCCCCTGAGCGCCGGGGAGCAGCCCGCTGAGCACTTTCCGACCCCAGGCGTCCCCGTGCGCCCTGGTCCCGGCTCATGGCTACTGAAGAGCGTGCTCAGAGCCAGGAGGACAGTTTCCAACGCCATCTCTGACTGTCTTCGCAGATGATTCACATGTCTCCTGTTCCACAGGTGTCACTCACATGTCTCCACGGACATCACTCACATGTCTCCACAGCCGTCACTCACGTCTCCATGGGTGTCACTCACATGTCTCCTGTTCCACAGGCGTCACTCACATGTCTCCATGGATATCGCCACATGTCTCCACAGACATCACTCACAAGTCTCCATGGACGTCCCTCACATGTCTCCACAGGCGTCCCTCACATGTCTCCACAGGCGTCACTCACATGTATGTCTCCACAGGCGTCACATGTCTCCATGGACGTCCCTCACATGTCTCCACAGGCGTCACTCACTCACATGTCTCCACAGGCGTCACATGTCTCCACAGGCGTCACTCACATGTCTCCATGGACGTCACTCACATGTCTCCACAGATGTCACTCACATGTCTCCACGGACATCACTCACGTGTCTCCACGGGCGTCACTCACATGTCTGCTCCCCGCAGGCCGGGAGGTGGAGAAGAAGACGGAGGAGGAAGACGTGGAAAGTGAAGTTGAAGTCCTCGTGGCGTGCAAGCCCGAGCCGGCAGAGCGAGCGCTGGGTTTGGACGTGGGTGCCGGTCAGACAGGTAGGTGTCGCCGATGCTGTGGCTCTCGGACTGGGTGGTGACACGTGCACGTGTTGGGGATGGTTAGAAACGTGAGCGCCCGCCCACGTTAGGGAACAGTTACTGACATCAGGAGAATGCGTCTTGTTTCCCACCTGCTGTCACGGGGTGTGGGCTGGGAGTCAGCGGTGAGGGAAACGTAGGAAATTCTTTTCTTTCCTAGAGGTTTGTATATCAATGGGAGAATTGGAACAAAGAAAAGCCGTGTTTTCAATTCCTGTTTCCATTCACACACGTTTTTCTGTTTTGAAGTTCTCAGCAGCCTCCTGACATCTTCGAGTTAAATTTTGGTAAAACTCAGAATAAATGTCCTAATTGGAAGTGCAGCCACTGAATTAAGGCCAGTGAATGCCTTTAAGATTGTAGTTTCTGCATAAGCAAATTTGTCTGATAATCTAGTGTGAAAGTAAATTAGCTGTATGTTAATGTCAGAAAGTATCTTTCCTTTTAATTTAAAATATATTTGTATTGCCAAAACCGGTTTGGCTCAGTGGATAGAGCGTTGGTCTGCGGACTGAAAGGTCCCAGGTTCGATTCTGGTCAAGGGCATGTACCTTGGTTGTGGGGTCGATGTTTCTCTCTCATCGATATTTCTAGCTCTCTATCCCTCTCCCTTCCTCTCTGTAAAAAATCAATAATAAAAAAAATTTGTCTAAAAAAAAAAATATATATATATATATATATGTGTGTGTATATATATACACACACACATATATATATATACACACACACATATATATATGTATGTACGTATGTATGTATTGACTTTAGAGAGGAAGGGAGAGAGAAACATCAATGATGAGGATAATCGTGGATCGGCTGCCTCTTGCACGCCCCACACTGGGGATGGAGCCTGCAATCCGGACCTGTGCCCTGACCTGGAATGAACTGTGACCTCCTGGTTCATAGGTCAACACTCACCCATGGGCCACTCCGGCCGGGCCCTTCAGTATTTTACGTTTCTGAGTGGATGGTCCAAGTCCCTATAGAAACACGACAGACCAAGAGCACATCGTACTCTGAAGGCTGGGCGCGTCCTGTGCCCGACACCGCGGCCTTGAACCCGTGCCGGGAGGATCTCGTTCTCCCCAGTGTCTCTGGACGGGTAGGAGGGACGGAGAGGACGGGAGAGTGGGGAGGGTTCGGGACTCCACCCCCTCCGGCCTGAAGCTCCTGCTTATTCCTTCACATCGTCGTGAATTTGGCGTCAGGTTTCTTTGGGAAGCGGGACCCCGTGAGAAGAGGGACAGGCACAGGCACAGCACGGCGGCCAGTGCACGGGACCCGAGTGTGTGCGAGGACAAACCGCAGACGGGCTCTGGGGGAGGCAGAGCAGCCTGGGACCTGGCTCTGTGCTTGTCCTGCCACAAGCCAGCGCGGTGGTTTTCGGGGAGTTGTTGAACCGCCCAGAGACCCGTTTACATGCGTTAGTTGAAGTAGTTCATCAGCTGTAAGGCCAACTGACTTGGTGAGCTTCAACCAAGTGACTCAAAGGGGCACACATTTCTAATTCTTTTTTCCTGAGTAACTTCATCCTCATGCTGCCGGTACAGCAGCCGGGATGGTTGGTAAGTTTCCCTCCCCCCTCCCTCTCTCTCTCTCTCTCTCTCTCTCTCTCTCTCTCTCTCTCTCTCTCTCTCCCCCTCTCCCTCTCCTCCCTCCCCGCCTTCCCCAATTGAATTTATTGGGGTGACATTGGTTCATAACATTGTATCGGTTTCAGGGCTACAGTTCTGTAAGCGTCATCTCTGTGCTGTATCGAGTGTTCTCCACCCCACGTCAGTCTCCTCCCATCACCATGGTCCCCCTTTGCCCTCTCTGCCTTCCCCCATCCACATCAGATGTGGTGGGTTAGTGGCTCTTACAGTTGTTTACGAGGCAGAAGAACTGGAAATTCTGACATCCTGTGGAGCACCAGTTTGCACCTCACTGATATACTAGAGGCCTGGTGCGCCGATTCTTCACCTGGCCGGCGATAGGGGCCAATCAGGGCTGTCTTGCCCAGTCTTGATTGGGGCCCATTGGGGTTGATGGCGGGGAGGGACTGTGGAAGGGACCGGGGGTCAGCTCCAAGGCGTGTCCGGCCCCATCTCGCTCAGTCCCAGTCAGCCAGACCCCAGCAGCAAGCTAACCTACAGGTTGGAGCATCTGCCTCTGGTGGTCAGTGAACGTCATAGCAACCAGTCGGTCAACCACTTGGTTGGACACTTAACATATTATTAGGCTTTTATATATAGATTTAATTGAACCCTATGAAGTAGGAACACTTTTATTAGCAGAGGACATTATGTTATAGCTATAAAACAATGTCCTAGGTTTCCCAACCAATATCCTCAGTCCACCACAATACAACAGATGAGTAGGTTATGGATATTAGCAGCTGTCAGTGTTTTTGGTCTCAAGACCCCTTGTAAACTCTTAAAAATTAGTCGTGTCAACTCATGCTGCCGCCACAGCCCAGGGTTGGAGCCCCAGCCGCCTCTCTCACTGTAACCTCTGGTTCGGTTCCCGGCAGGCGAAGGTCATCAGACGGTTTATGTGCAATGTATCGGGAGCCTTTTTACTTAAAATTGTTACTGAGTTTTAATGGGCAGCTGTGAATTGCTGTTCGGGTTGATTTGCCATATAATGTGCGTTTCCTCCCAGCTTTCCCCTCCGCCCACACGTGCCAGCCGTTGTAAGTTTTGAATGGATGAATTTTAGAGTAAAGCTGTTTCCTCCTTTCACTCAGAAACGGAGGAGCTGCCCCCGATCGACCACGGCGTGCCCATCACCGACCGGCGGAGCACCTTCCAGGCACACCTGGCTCCCGTCGTCTGCCCCGAGCAGGTGAGCTGCCCAGCCGAGGGCGGGCGCTTTCGCCGGAGGAGCCAGCGCGCGGCTTTGCAGGAACAGCCTTGCTTTTCCTGTTGTTACTTCCACGGAAGATGCCGATTTGCTCACTTTCCTGCCTCTGTGCGCGAATCCGGGGGCAGGGGCAGGGCCTCCTCTGCTGGACGCTGCTCTTAAGTTTTAAGTTTTATCCGAGCTCTGGTTGGGGGACCTCGTCGTGGGTTTTCACACAAGCAGCACCCTCGGTGGAGCTGCGGGAGTCACTGCGTCTCATAGTGACTAAGCAGACGTGAGCCCTGGCCCAGGCTCCACTGGTGGGAGCCGGCACTGGGAGGTTGTGGGTGTAGGTCCAGTCCGGGCCCCTGTGGACAGCACTCCCGCCAGCAGGGCCGCGCCAGCCAGGGCCGAGCCTTTCTCTCAGTGCTCCGCAGGATGCGTATTAGAGTTAAATTAGAGTTTCAGATAAACATTAGTACAGGGGGCCTCCTTACAATAACAGATGATTTGTGATTGACCTGAAGTTGCAGTTGAACTAAGTGTCCTTATTTTTATTTGCCAACCTGGCCCCTCTGCACACGTGTTTCCCCCAAGTGGACGGCTCCTTCCTGCCCCTCTTCCCTTTGGACCCAGAAATGACCACGTCTCTCAGGTCTCGGCCCACGTTACTCCCCCGTGGCCTTGCAGGAACCAGGGAGCGCTGTGGTGTGTAAGGTGTGGGACCACTGTGCACCGTCACCCTAGACGCACACCTTTGGTAAATTTTAGAGCTCCTGTTTTGAAATTCTCGTGTTTACATGTAGCATTCTCTACCGGGGACGTTCCTGTTTGAGGACCGAGGCATGGCTAGTGCTCAGGTGCTTTTGGTTGTTGTTCAGAAACCCGGCCTGTCCTTTCGTCCCGGCGTGAGCACCGGTCTCTGCCCCATGTGGGGAGCCTGTGGCAGGGCTTCCTCAGCGACTAGAAGGTTCTGGACGGAACCTCCAGTGCTGCTGCAGCACTACATCCGCACGCTCCGATGTCTTCTGGGGTTTGTTCATCGAGAACGTGAAATGCGCACGTTACTTATTTACGTCACTGCTACTTTTAAGGTGAAAATGGTTCTTGCCAAATTGTATGAAAACAAGAAAATCGCCAGCGCCACCCACAACATCTACGCGTACCGGTGAGTGAGAGCACAGCTCCAGGGCGTGCAGTTCATAGGATGGGAGAGGCTGGGCGTGGCCGTAGCAGTGATAACTGCTGTGTGTCTTCCCATTACAAAGCAGTCGTTGGTAGAATGTTCAGACACTGCAGAAAAGAGAAAAAATGAGAGGGGAAATCAGCCCTTTTCTACCATTAAATGCAACCGGTAATACTTGATACGTTTTTTGTGCAAAGTTTATCTTTTCAATGCTTTGCCCTATTACCCTATTTTTTTCTTATTTACAAATAAAAATTTCCATTTTGTTATAATTGCTTCGTGAACATTATTTTAATGTTTGACTGGTAGTTGTCTGAGGTCCCAAACTACAGTTTACTTAACCATTTCCTGCTAGTTTTGGTTTTCCTGTTTCATTATTATAAAGAAGAGCCGTGAACATAACAGATGGTAAATGATCGTGAACACATACTACTGTAGTTGGAGAAGGATTTTAAAAAACAGATGTGCTGATTTTGGAAGTAAATTGCAACTCGTACGAAGCGTTTTGAGGGTTCGAGGTGTGAACGTGTTGTGTGTGTTTCTAGAATATTCTGTGAGGACAAGCAGACCTTCCTGCAGGACTACAGTGACGACGGGGAGACGGCGGCTGGCGGGCGCCTGCTGCACCTCATGGAGGTGGGTCCGTCGATCCCGTGTCCGGTCCCCGGCCTGAGTTCCAGCAGCACGGAGCTCCCTCCCGTTGGGAACAAGCCCTCATCAGCTCTAGTGCAGACGGTGTGGGCTCCTTAGGTCTTTACACAGTGACAAGGGAAGGCCGCCTGGTGAGGCAGGAAGCAGAGGCCAGAACAGGCCTCATCTCCCAGCTCTTTCCTCGTGGCCCGGGAGGCTGTCTGCAGCTGTGGGACCTGCTGGTTCTGTTTTCTGACAATCCCCCTCTATTTCCGAGTTCTGTCTGTCACATTCCTGTTAGTTGGGTATCGGAGCTTCTGAACGGATCTGAGATTTTTCTTTCCTTATGAAATTGTCCATCTCATTGCCTCATGTGCCGAGACATTTTCTTGATGGTCTCCTAAAATTTTTTTTTTTTAGCAACCATGCATTTAATTGTTATATAGTCACTAGAGGCCTGGTGCACAAAATTAGTGCACAGGGTGAGGGATTCCCTCAGCCCAGTCTGTACCCTCTCCAATCCGGGACCCCCTCGGGGGATTTCCAACTCCTGATTTAGGCCTAATCCTGGCAATTGGACATTCCTCTCACAATCTGGGACCGATGGCTTCTAACTGCTCACCTGCCTACCTGCCTGCCTGATCACCCCTAACTCCCTCCCCCCCCTTCCGCCAGCCTGATCACCCCTAACCACCTCTGCCTATAGACCTTATTGCCCCTAACTGCCCCCCCCCTGCCAGCCTGATCACCTCTAACTGCCTCTGCCTGCTGGCTGGATTGCCCTTAACTGCCCCTCCTGCCAGCCTGGTCGCCCCCAACTGCCTCCGCCGCCCCCCCCCCCCCCCCCCCCCCCCCCCCCCCAGCCTGGTTGCCCCACGCAGCTTGCTGTTCGGTCATTACTGTTACTGTGTCCTGGACCATTTGCATATTCCTTTATTATTACTATAGACTAGAGGCCCGGTGCACGAATTTGTGCACAGGTGGGGTCCCTCTCGGTAGCCTGCAGGGATCAGGCCGAAACGTGCAGTCCAACACCGCCTGCAGCTCTTACCGGCTGCTTCCAATCATCCCGGCTCCACTGTGCCTGCCCCGGGCTTGACCCAATCATCCTGCTTGGGAGAGGCTCGCTCATCGTGATGAGCCGTTTCTGGTGCCTTCCCAAGGGGCGTGGCCTGTGGGATCGGCTGGCTCTCCAACATTCCCCAAGGGGTCCTGGACTGCAAGAGGGTGCGGGCCAGGCTGAGGGACCCACCGGTGCACCATCCGTCTGGGGAGGGACCGAAGGGGGGCTCCAGGGTGTGTCCGGCCCATCTTGCTCAATCCCGATAGGCTGGACCCCGGCAGCAAGCTGACCTACAGGTTGGAGCATCTGCCCCCTGGTGGTCAGTGCACATCATAGTGAGTGGTTGAGCAGCCTTAGCATAGCATTAGCATATTATGCTTTGATTGGCTGTTCGCTGTTCCGCCGTTCAGTCTATTTGCTTATTATTCTTCTGTTATATAGGAGGATAACAATTTTCCTATTTCCTTTTTTGTAGTGTGCTGTTCTGGTTTTATGGATGCAGGATCTCCTAACATTTCCGAGTGTGAAATAATACTTGTTTTTCTTGAGATGGCCTCTCAGATGGTTTCCAGTCTGTGTTAGTTGTTTATCTTGCCCTCCCTCGTCAGTGTGGCCGGGTGGTCGCGGACGGCCCTCGTTCTGAGGGGGTGGTTCTCTCGCAGCAGCTGCTGCCGTGTCCGCTCCTGTGTGGACGGTGTGGTCAGGCCTGTGGGCAGCGGGTTGGACACACAGTAGGCCGAGGGAGACGCGGCAGCGTCAGCGCCAGCGCGGCCTCTGGCAGCCGTGCCCTCTGGGCTGGGGCAGCAGGTCCAGGTCTGGCCCGGGGGTAAGGCTGCCCGGACAGCGGTTCGGGTTGAAGTCGCCAGAATGGGGACCCGCCCACCAGTCTCCCCTCAGCCCCGGGCCCAGCGGTTGGAAGTCGAAGGCCCCGTGGAGCACGGGCCCCTTTTCCAAACTCCCTCTCGTCTGTGCCCCGGTCCCCCTCTCGCTCCCCCCGTGCTTTCTCCAGGAAGTGGGGGCGTTCCTGCAGTGCCACTGCATAGTGCTCACACCCACCTTCTCTGTCCTGTCTGAGGCAGATCCTAAACGTGCGGAATGTGCTGGTGGTGGTGTCACGCTGGTACGGTGGCATCCTGCTGGGGCCCGACCGCTTCAAGCACATCAACAATTGCGCCCGGAGCCTCCTGGTGGAGAGAAGCTACACGGGGTCGCCGGTGAGCTGGGGCGGCACCGCCCTCCACCCTCTGCCCTCTGCCCTTTGCCCTCTGCCCTCCACTGGGGCGCTCACAAACCAGAGAGCATGCTCAGAGCGGGCAGAGTCCGTGTGTGTGTGTGTGTGTGTGTGTGTGTGTGTGTGTGTAAACCTCGGCCTGGGAGCCGGGGACGGGTGCCAGGCAGACCCTGTGGCTGCCAATGCAGAGCCTGGGCGGTGACTGGCCTCTGGGACTCTCAGGTCAGGCGCTCCTGGGTGTACGGAGCCCTGAGGCCAGTGGCCTCATTCCCAGGGGCTGAGGCCGAGCAGTCAGTGACCTGGCCTTCCCTAAGCGGCTACGAGATCCCCTTCCATCCCTGCCGGGCAGGCCTTCATGCCTCCTCCCTTCATGCTGGCGGGTTTCTGTTTCATGTTCTGTAACTACGTCCGCTGCTGCTGTTTTTAAGCTCTGCTGCCTTACTTTAGAGCGACACCAGAGCCTGGCCGCTGGCCCACGCACCAGGAGGTCAGGGTTCGATTCCCGGTCAGGGCGTGTGCCCAAGTGGCGGGCTACATCCCCAGGAGGGGGCGTGCAGGGGCAGCCCATTGATGTGGATGTTTATCTCATTGACGTTTCTACCTCTCTCTCTTTTTCTTTCTCGCTAAAATCAATAAAAATATATATACTTTTTGAAGTGGACAATAGAATAACCTTGACATTACTTAAACATAAATCTATTAGGTGAAGGAGTGTTTTCCTCGATTATTTTGTGCATGAGCACACAGCCGTAAACGCAAGTGCCGCACAGTCAGAGCGATGGTGTGTGGGGGTTGCGTGCTTTGCTGTCACACAGACGCTCGGGGTGAGGTTTCGGGCTCCCGGCAGTGTCTCCATATGAATGGGGGGACACTGCATTGAATTCTCTTTTCTCCAGGAGGAATCGTCGAAGGCTTTGGGGAAGAACAAAAAAGTGAGAAAGGACAAGAGGAGGAGTGAACATTGACACCCACACAACGTAAAGGTCAGCTTCCCCGTCATCAGATGCCAGTTCCATGCTCATCAGACGCCCTGAGGGGGAGGGCCCGGCCCGCAGCCATCCTCACACCAGCATCTCGGCCCCGTGTCACGTCATCGCCAGCACTGGACCCTGCTGTCCCCGGAGGACGTCACAGGAACCTCGTCACCCCCCCCCCCCCCCCCGGCTGAGGAGGGAAGCTGCAGGGCCGCGCCGGACTGTCTGGGCCAGCCCGTGTCAAGTGCCTTTGGCGGTGGGAGCATCTCTGGGAGCGTCAGCGCTGAGCGGAACAGCCTCTGCTGAGCGGTACGGCCCCACTGCTCTCTGTGGCTCCCGGGAGCGGCTTCCTGTGGTCTTTGTTCTCGATGTGCCATCCCTGAGGCGAGGCGGGGACGCAGGCCTGTCCACCGGCCGCGACGGGCTGTGTGACTCGTTCACACGTGCTGGCATGAGCGTTGTGCCTCGGTTTCTGCTGCAGTTGGTGTCTGTGAGTTTCAAAAAGTGACTTTCTAGCCCCTTCCCTTTGATTCAATCCTCGAGGCATGAAGCTCCCTCCCGCCCTGACGTGTCTATTCTGTCTCCAACCAGGAAGTACTTTCCTGTGAGCTCCTGAGGAGCGAGGCTGTGCTGGGCGCGAGGCTGTGGCTGACGAGGGGAAAGGAGACGGAGAGAGAGAACCATCAGTGATGAGAGTCATTCATCGACTGCCTCCTGCACGCCCCCCACTGGGCATCGAGCCTGTAACCCAGGCCTGTGCCCTTAACCGGAATCTAACTCATGACCCTTCAGTCCACAGGCCGAAGCTCTATCCACTGAGCCATACCGGCTAGGATGGATTCTGAGAAATAAGATCTAAATTATATTTGTTGTACGTGTTTAATGTTGCCAGTTATCAATTGTCATCAGAGGGTGACATATATGTATTTAGGCAGGACACATCAAGTTCCATGAAAAGCTAAGTATGCCCTGTATTAACTTAAAAAAAACAAGTTAAAAACTACCAATTAGCATGAACCTAATGGCACAGTTTTGGCACATCAAGCCTGTGGTGGGAGCTATAAAACAGCAGTCGGATTTGGTGCTGCAGAAAAACAAATTGGAGTTCGTTTTTCTGTACCACCAAATTTGAATTCATTTCTTGCTGAGTTATCTAATATTTACTAAAGTCTTTTAGAAAACTTTTATTTCTGGGATCTCAATTTTCTTTAAAAGCAATCTTATTTTTGCTTCTTTCTACAGAATTATTAGCCACATTACCTCAGACACCTCATTCCTTTGCCTCAGGCAGCTGCCTAATGAGAATGTTGGTGTCTCCGATTCTGGAGCCTGAGTTACTTTGTTTTCTGTTTGGATGGACCCCTCTCCAATAATCGAATCTGTTTTTCTCTATTTAAAAATTTATCTCAAGTCCATGCCCATGTGGCTCAGTGGACAGAGTGTCGGCCTGCTGACCGAAAGGCCCTGGGTTCGATTCTGGTCAAGGGCACGTGCCTGGGTTGCAGGTTCTGTCCAGCTTGCAGCAGGCAGCCAATCAATGGTTTCCTCTCATCATTGAGGTTTCTCTTCCTCTCCCTTCCTCTCTGAAATAAATAAGAATATATATTTTTAAAAAAAATTTTATCTCAAGTCCAGGCCGGTTTAGCTCAGTGGTTCTCGCACCGAAGGGTCAAGGGTTCGATTCCCAGTCCAGGACACGAACCTGTGTTGGAGGTTCAGTCCCCACCCAGGATTGGGGCTCGTGCAGGAGGCAACCAACCGGTGTGTCTCCCACATCAATGTTTCTCTCTCCCTCCTCCCCTTCCTTCCATTCTCTCTGAAAATCAATGAAAACGATATCCGCCGGTGAGGATTAACAAAAAAAATTGCTGCGATTGGATTTTCAAATTCCCCAAGTAGTGTTCTTGTCTGCGCGCCGCTGTGTTCTGGCGCGTTGTGCTAGGTGAAGGTGTTCCCGTGCCAGTGCAGGAGCGGGCACCTGCGTTTTACACGGGGACGAAGACTGGTTTGGGAGTGAGTCTGCTCGTGGCGGGGGCAGGCCGGGCGCTCTGTGCAGCTGTGTCCATTCCATGGTCTACCCTCCTCGCATTCTATTTTCCCTCTGCGTGATTTTGTACATAGGCTATTTTTCTTCCCATAAAGTGCTATAAACTGTACATACTGTTTTGTACTCGATATTTCATATAGAGGTATATTGTTACATCCTCCATTTCAATAAACACATGCTGTGGCTTAGTTTCTCACGCCGCGTCCGCTGTCTCCTGGCCGTCCCTGCTGCTGTCTCATGGCCACGCTCTTTCCGGTTCGAGCCGAGGGGAGCCCGGCGTGAGGTCATGGACCCGGCTGCTCCTCCCGCGAAGCTGCCTCGGCCCTCGGTGGCCCTGGCGTGGGTCAGACCCGCCTCGAGGTCATCGTGGCGACGGGAGGTGAATGGACGTGGCCGACACCTTCCTCTGGTTCTGCCCAGAAGTGTGATGTTCGCCTGATGGAGCCACGTTCCGTTTCTCTGCAGAGGGTCCGGCCGATGCCCGCTCAGTCCCCCGCCGCCCGGGCCTGGCGCCTTCCCCCTGCCGGCGGCTGGGCATACAGCCCGGAGCTGGATTTGGGAAGTAAGCAGTGGAGCGGGCGGGTATATGCTGATGGTCCGGGCTTCCGCTGAGGTGCACGGGTGTTAGGCAGCGTCACGCCACGGCTGGTCGTTCAGACACGTCATTGCGAGTCCGACGCCCCTGGTTCTCACCGATGGGCCGTGTTTAACCTCGTCCCCACCCTGTGGGTGCGGCCTCTGCCCCTGTGCGTCCTCCGGTGGTTCAGGTGGAACCGGACGGGCCCTGTGCATGGGGCTCAGTGGCGCCTCCGCTGTGAGGACTCCAGCCGGACGCCCGCGGTGAGTCCCGCTGTTCCTACTGCCGTTCCTCGTCCTCCGCACGAGGGTCCCCAGCCAGCACCGCTCAGCTCAGTTTTCTGGTTGTGGACAAGCCTTGGAGGAGCCGATGGGTCTTCGGAGCCGGCACGGACTCGCCCCCCGGGGCCCCTCTGCCCGGATCCTGGAGTCGGCCCCTGGGAAGGCGTCGGAAGCCACAGGGAGCCCTCGCGTGGTTTATTTTTTTATTACCGTATTTTCCGGCGTATAAGACCGCCTAATTTTACAGTTAAAACAGGTTTAGGCCTATATTCGCTGTATAAGACTACCCCCCACTTCCGAGGCAACACCAGTTCTTTTTTTAATAGACCGCCTCTCTGACTCTGGCCAATCTGAGCAGCCTTTTTACTAGAACACAGTGTAGAAAGAGGCGGTCTATTAAAAAAAGAACTGGTGTTGCCTTGGAAGTGGGGAGTAGTCTCATACAGCGAATATAGGCCTAAACCTATGTTTTAACTGTAAAATTAGGGGGTCGTCTTATACGCCGGAAAATACGGTAAACCTTCAAGGCGTCCCAGCCATCTGAGAAGCCAGTGAGCCCGCGCCTCCTGCTGGGCGGGGAGGGTGGAGGACCTTGTGGGCTCCAGGCTGCTAGCTTTCAGCTCAGCTTTGCCTCAGAAGGAATTGTCCTGGAAAGGCAGATGTGGGAGGTCTGAGAAGTGCCAGCTAACCTGAGAGAGCAGCAAAGGAAAGGAGGAGGGGCAGGGAGGGGAGAGCGGGGGAGGAAGAGGGAAGGTGAGAAGGGCGGGGCCAGTGAAGGGCGGAGGAAAAAGTGAAAAGTCTGTGCTGCTGGTTAGACGTGGGGAAGGAACGAATGTTAACAAGCAGGTGCCAGTTCAGCCCTCGGTCTCAGACCAGCCGGAGTGGGGGGCGGGGAGGTTGAGTAAGGAGATGAAAAATGAGAAACGCCTTCAGAGTCACCATCTGGATTCAACATTTCCCGTTTTATCTTTAACTCTGTGTGTATATGTTCACACACACGGACACACAGGTTTCTGCTGAGCCATTGGGGACACTACCCTCACCCCTAGGTGCTCCAGCATGATTTCCTGACACCGACATTCTCTCACGTCACCACAGTACAATCCTGACACCTGGGAAAGCAGAGATTAATCGATAGATCTCTATATAAAAGTAACATGCAGTGTCCCTTGGGAGTTCAACCTGAAGACTGGGAGTTCCATTGCTATGGCGTGCGCTGACCACCAGGGGGCAGTGCGGGACATGCGTGGCAGGGAGGTGCGGGGATGTGGGGGGGGATAACTGCGTGGTGCAGGCGGGCTGTGAGGGAAGGGGAGGTGGGAGGCGGGAACCTGATGGGCCCCACCTGTGCACAGACTTCATGTACGGCCTCCAGCTCCCTCAGACACTGAGTGTCCAGTCCGTGTTAAACCGTCTCCAGTCAATGTCAAACTGCTGCTGTTACTCCGAGTCAAGAGAGCGAGTGGGAGGGAGGGGGAGATGGAGAGGAACATCTGCATCAATGGGTTGCCTCCCTCGTGGGCCCACAGCCACGACCGGGGACCAAGCCACTGGCATGTGCCTCGGCCAGAATTGGACCCGGGACCCTCAGCCCTCGGGCTGACACTGTCCCCCACGCCCAGCCGGCCAGGTGACCCAGCCTGCGGTGACTGGCCTCCGTAGACGTGGCGAGTCTCCTGCCCCCTCCGCTCCCTGAGTCAGAGGACTCCCAGGGCTCAGCCTTCCCGCAGCTTCTCAGGCGGCTCGTCCCCTCGGAACCCGGGGACCGAGTGCGAGATGGTAGTTTGAGGAGGAGCCGTGGGTTTCCGGGAGACGGTGGGGGTAGGTTTCCGGGGGGACCGTGAGGGTGGGAGAGCCACCCAGTTGCTTGGGCTCAGCGGGGCCTGTCCCTGAGTCATGTGCGCGATGGGACGGCCTCTGCTGAGCCCTGGGTCCTCTCATTGCGGGGCCGCGTCTGGACGGAGGGGGCTGTGCTGTTGGGGGACGGAGAGGCACCCAGTCCGCAGTGTCCCTGGAGGACACACAGGGCCCCTCTGCGCTGCCGCCGCCGCCCACACCAGGGACATGGCCATCCGCCCAGCGCGTCCTGCAGCTGCGCCCAGTTCCCGTCCCCCCGGCCGGGCAGGTGCCGGCAGCACCGAGCAAGGAGCCGCACCTGGAGCCCGGCACCTTCTCCTGCCGGCGGAAGCAGAGCCTGGTCTCCCTCTCTCCCTCTCTGTTTCTGTCTGTTTCTCTGTCTCACACACACACACACACACACACACACACACACACACACGTACACGCGCACATGCACACACCATGCACACGCACATTTTTAGTCCTCATCCGAGGATGTTTATCCATTGATTTTAAGGAGTAAAAATATTGTAGAATAGTGTCACACCTGACATTTACCGGGAGGCTCCTCCCTGCAGTTGCTCAGCTCACGGCATGACTTCCATCTCCGTCCCCATTCGGCCCAGCCTGTCTTCGAGGAGCGCAGAACTAAACGGGGAAATGTGTGCAGCCAGACCCTGTTTTATGTCCGTCCGCGGAGAAGCCGTGGAAACCAGTGACTGGGTGAGACCAGCTGGTTACAGGGCGGGTTTTGCTTCATGTGGAGAAGCTGGGGAGGGGTGGGGAGGGGAGGGGAGGGGAGGAAGGTGGGATTGAATGATCGGCCGATCAGCCGGCGAGACGACGGTGCCCTCCTCGTCGATCTCCGGAGGAAAGAGAGCTCGTCCCGGGTCGGAGTGGCCGGAAGAACTGCTCCTGGCTCTGGCGGGGTCAGAGCCGGGCATCCCGCGGGCTGGGCCGTGCCACGGCTGCTCCGGCGTTCTCGGTGGCAGGGAAGGAAGGAATGAACGTGAACTCATTTAAAAACCCTGTGTCCCCTGGGCTCCCGACACAGACACGGGACGGACGTGTCCTCGGTGGAGGGTGCGGCACGGGCCAGGGACACGCAACCCACGCAGGGCCCCGTGCCGTCCAGAGGACGAGTGTTCGAGGCGCCTGGGCGGGGCTGAGGCTCGGAGGGGCTGTGCCCAGTGGGGACGGGACGGCAGGCGTGTCCGTGCCTGGGAAGCACAGGCTCGGTGGGTGGCGTTGGCCTCGGCTGCGGGCGGCTGGGCCGGGCAGGCGCCTGGGCGGTGCGAGGTGTGGTCCGGACGCTCCTGCAGGGTCCTCACTGGAGGGGCACGTGCCTTCCAGGCTCAGGCTCACAGAACGGCTCCCCTTGGTTTCTGTGAGGCTCGTGCCCGGTCCTCTGCAGTGACCCTCCCCTCAGATCTCGTCTGGGATGACGGGAAGGTCATGCACAGAAACAGGAAGGAGAGACTTTATTTGGGAGCGGGGTGTTGAGAAGAAAAACCCACAGGGTGGATGTGACGAGCAAGCGGTGTGCCCTAGATGGTGTGGCTCAGTGGATAGAGCGTCGGCCTGTGGACTGAAAGGTCCCAGGTTCGATTCCGGTCAAGGGCATGTACCTTGGTTGTGGGCACATCCCCAGTAGGGGGTGTGCAAGAGGCAGCTGGTCGATGACTCTCTCTCATCGATGTTTCTGGCTCTCTATCCCTCTCCCTTCCTCTCTGTGAAAAATAAATAAAATATAT